TTAAATAAATATTTTGACTTTTTAGACATTTAACTTTTCTGTTTTCTTGAGAATAAAATGAGATCTTTTCATTAGAATATGTTGAGATATTACAAAAACCTAACTGCACTCTTTCTTCTGACACATCGATCGTTTTTTTAAGTTTTTTTTTCTACACTCTTCGAAGGTAATTAGAAATTTGTCGATCACTCAAGGATGATGCGTTTGTCTTACATCTGATAATTATTCTATCGAAATCTTCTCAAGTTTTCGTTACGAATTCTCAAGTCTAGTCTATGCTAATACCTATGGAGAAATATATAATTAGTTACAAAGTTGTGATTTATGATAATCTCGATGAATAATGAAAGAAGAATCTAAATTAGTTTATTAGTATCAGATATGTATGTGATAATGAAACTTAGATTTTTAAGAAGAATCAATGAATTGATACGAGAAACGAAAAATTCTAGGGGAAAAATACCATAGATAAAACGATGTCAATTTTTTGGTATATTTTATCAAAAGAAAATATTGAACAGCAACACTATTGACGTACTTCTAAAATTTATTCATTGTTGAAACTATTTTTTTTCTCATTCTTTAACAGTCGTCTGTCGTAGATAAAAAGTAATTTATTGCTACAAAAGTTAATAGAGCAGCTGAGTTTTTTATTTGATTACTGTAATCTTTATGACTTACGCATATTTATCATCTAGTTGTTCATGTAAGATTTATACTGAAAACGGAATATATACTCAGCATTATATTCTTTTTATGGTATAAGAGATAAAAAATTAAAGTTTCTTTGCGTAAGAGTTTCAATCGACGACGAACTCAATAAAATTACAAGCTCTAAAATGAAATCATTAATGAAACTAAGCTACTTAACATTTTTTTTCAACTGATTTATAAGATCAATCAGTGTGATGTTTCGTTCTAACTAAGAACATTATCAAACACAAATAAATAGACAGAAGATGAATATATATAAGAGTAAAATAATGTCTTCGTTTTTCTATTCTATTATTTTAAACATTCTAATGCAGACGGATCAATTTTACTCCCCCGTGCATTGAAATGTTTAAAACAATAGAATAAAAAACGATGACATTATTTTACTCTTATATATATTCTTCTTCTGTCTATTTATTTCTGTTTGATAATGTTCTTAGTTAGAACAAAACGTCACACTGATTGATCTTATAAATCAGTTGAAAAAAAAATGTTAAATATCTTAGTGTCACTAATGATTTTATTATGGAATGTGGTGCTACCAAATAACAAATAAGTTCTATATTATATATTTTTTCTACGAATATCGTATTTTGTCAACTATCTCGATGAAATGTACAAGAAAGTTTTCCACAAATACTATCCTAAGAAAAAGTAAAAATAAACGCAGAACGTAAGGTGAAACTAAATCCTCTACATCGTTCAATTCTGAAGACTTCTTCTATTAGAGTTATCTGAATCTTTTTGCTCATGTTTTCTAAGCTCGACCAACGGTCAATGAGTATCCTTATTCACAATTCGTATACAGTAAATATGTGAATTTCTTCGTAATCTGAATAGTATTTTAGATTAAATTCAGATATCATTCATGTATCTTATCTTTGTATGCATTCACATCGCTCGCAGAAGCGATGTTTACTTATTGAGCAATCTTCATCGAATGAATGAATGAATATGCTGGACGAATTTATTTTCTCTTTCGTCCTTCTCTAAGTTTATTCTTTTTTCCTTCCTCTTCTCTGAATTTTTTCTTTTACTTCTTGACTTAAATTTTTCTTTACTTTCCTATCTCTCCAATTTGATTAAGACTAACAATCAATTACTAAGCATATGAGATCCGTACTGTTTATGCCACATACATTTGTCGAATATATATTAACTGAAAATATTACTCTCTTTTGACTTGGCTAGAGTTTCTAATTGGATTATGTAGCTCATAATTAATAATGTTGTATTGCTTGTCATAAAATGAGTTTCAATTAGCTCATATACTAATGAGTTCATAATTTGTGATGAAAACTCTAATGCAGCAATTTTATGTTTGAGAATATTAGGAACTTATAATTTATCGTACATTTCGAGCTTTGAACATAATCAAAAAATTAGGATTTCAATGTGAAAATTGAGACTTTAAATCAATAAAATCAACCTATATTTTTTCGATATTCTAATGTTCGCACCAACACATAATTTTGATTCATATGATGTCAATGTTATGCGGATTCTTACTTTAATCAAAGGAACTCTTTTTCACATAATTAAATCTGCAGCAAATACTTTTTTGAAGTAATTCAGCAGATCAAAAGATAAATGGAAGCTCCAAACGGACTAAATGTCTTTCACGCGTACTGTGAAACAATAAAAAATACAAATTCACGAGAATATAAATAATTATGGGAACCAGTCCCAAAAAAAATTAATCTACTTTAAGCATTTACAGCTGTTTTCGTTGGAAAAGATGATCATAAACATTTCTCACTATCTTTTACGAAGAAGAAAATGTCTTATATAACTGTTTCAGAGTTTATTTAATGTGAATAACGCTTGGAAACGCTGACTAGCCGTAAAAACGGCAAGAAAAGTGATGATCACGTTTTTTCTTGCCATTTATCACCGTTTTCTAACAAAACGGGTGATTATGACAGTTTAAACGGCATTTTCAGCGTTTCACTTCTTCCTGGGTTTCGAGCCTATAATTTCATTTTAGAGGATAGAAAATTCGTTCTTAAAGTTTGATAGTGGTAGCCACTGATGATGGCAGAACCAAAGTTTTATTTTTCATATGATCCAATCCGTCCATTGTCCGGACTTGGAAGTAGCTCCGTCTGGTGTAGAATTCAATTCTCTATCGATTGAACTCCTTCGTTCACTATTAAAACGACTTCATTGCTACCTTCAGCCGATTGCTTCTTAATTTATTGCCATTATTCTTTTTCTCTCTCTCTCTCCTTAACACTTTCCTATTAACAATCATCTTCTATTCTTGTCCATCATTTACTAAGATACATTGGGAATCTTCATTCATCCTCAAATCAATTTATCATTATTTCATCCTGTGTCACTTTTTAGTGGCACCTGAGGTCGTGTTTAATACCCATTTGAAAACGAAGGTGAATGAGTATTTGTTGAACAACTTTTGAACAGATTGAGCTAGAGAGCTGCGATTTTCACCATTGAAAAGAAGAGACGAAGACGCATCGAACCGTAGATGAAAACATTTTTCTGAATACCTTCCTAACAATTTTAGTTAAACGTTTTCAAAAACTGGCTTTTTTCTCATACTTTAAAAAAAATAAAAAACTTCCATTTTCGATTCTTTTGTTGACAAAATTGGCTGGTAAATTGCACTTCAATGGGTAGGATATCTTACTGGTAGTGGTTAGGAATAGAATTTTTATATGGTTTTGTAGCTCTTCATTTGCTGGTGCTAGCACACTCCTGAAAACCAATAAATTAATATCGCTATTATGAAAAGCATGCTTTTTTTTCTAGAAGCTCTATGTAAATCTGTGAGCAAAGTAGTCAGAACAATGTTTTCATATAAGGTTCGATGTGTCTTTATCTACACTTTTCAATGGTGAAAATCGCAGCTCTCTAGGTGAATCCGTTCAAAAATTTATTTAAAAAAAAATATCCACTTGCCTTCTTTTTGAAATGGGCATTAGTTGCATTTCAGACAGAGGAGGATGGGAGGAGAAAGAGCTGCGAAGCTTCCACTTACAACTTGTAATCAGTTTTCTTTGGAAAATATCTGTGAATGGCACAAAACCTATACGTACGTCATGACATGTACTCATAAGAGAGGACTTAATTGAAGACATTGATGAATAACCACTTCAACTATTACCTAGCACCAAATAAGATCTCACAAACTACCATGCGGAATAAAATTTGAAAGCTCACAGCGAAATTTTCGTTCGGATGTCATTTTTTCTGAATTATATTGTCCACTTTTCACTCCGATTTTGTTGTTCAATGGTTTGTTAATAAGCTGACTTGATTAGGTTGACAATGTGAACCGAATTCTCTGGGACGATTTGAATTTTCTAGACTCGTGTCGCTTCTGTACTATCGAAAACATGTTTCTCTTTGTCGATCAGCATATTTCAAATCACTGTGAAAACAACTCGAAAGACTTTGTGAAAAATAGAGTGCATTCATTTTTTTTTGTTCACTTGTTTCTGTCTCATTTTTGACGTTTTTACTCTCTCTCTGTGTCCCTCTTATTAAAGTTTTCTTGAAGAATGTTAATATTCTGAAATTAAAAATAACTACAAGCTTGTTCATTATCATTAATCCTTCATCTTTATATATGGATCGCCTTTCACCTAGATTCCAATCTTTCGTCACATTGGTCACCAAACAAAAAATCCATATTAGTAAATTTCACCTCCGCCATCAACAAATCCTTCCATCATTTCGTTATGTTAAACTGTACAAGTATTCATTTAGACTTAAATTAGTGGATATCATGCGTATGAATTTTCCTTATATTTTAGTGTGCACCAAATTTCGAACGATCGTTATAACAATATCGATTGCTTGCATAGTCATCCTACTATCTTTGTCACATCGACATCGGTTACGAAACTGGAGTCAGTCTGCATGTTGGAGATTTGTTTCTGCTCCAGTGAGTTCCCACTGGATTACGAAATTTCAACAACACGAGCGCCGGATCTTTTCTCAAAATGGTGAAGATGGGGTACTCCTCTGGATCTTCGCCAATATCGGTACAATTCATCAACCACCTCATTTTGTCGAGTTCGGTGTTCAAAATGGCGAACAATGTAACACACGTTTTCTTCGAGAATACCTTGGATGGCAAGGTCTGATGATGGATGGTGGTCATGAAAACCTCTCTATTAATCTTCGTCGTGAGAAGGTTTCTCCAAAAAATATCAACGACTTGCTCGCAAAATATGAAACTCCAGCCATTATAGATCTTCTATCGATCGATATTGAGTAAATCTCTTTCTTGTACTTAAAATTAATTGCTTCTCTCTTACAGTTTCGACGATTACTTCGTTTGGAAGTCAATCTTGCAAGCAAATCTATTCCACGCTCGTGTAGTAATTATTGAATTCAACTATATGATTCCACCCAACGAAAACCGAGTCGTGAATCCAAATCAAGATTCACGCCGATGGACGGGTACCGTACATTTTGGTGCCGGAATTCTAGCCTTAGCAGCACTAGGACGTGCTTACGGGTATACACTTGTATATGGAGAACAGAATGGTGTGAACTTGTTTTTTGTTCAAACATGCTTACTTGTTCGGCAAGGTGTACTTGATGATGTCCCATCAATAGAGAAACTACATATATCGAAACCTGTTGGTCAGTGGAAGCATGCACCTGAACGAGACAAGTCACGAGCTTGGATATGGAATGACACAAATTGGCAACCATAGTCAAATCAATATTCCTGAAGAAACTGATTCACATTAACGATGAACATCACTTTTAACTAGATATGACAATGCTTAACGAAGGGGTGATTCAAAAGTTTCGACCCCTCTCAGTAAATCGATGATATCTATAACAAACTTATATGAAGTTATTGATCGAATTAAATCATTTTGTAGAGGAAGATTAGAACTATCATCTGAAAAAAAATCAGTTCGAAATACATAAATCTATTAGAATCTTTTGGTCGTTGTACTAATCTGGAGTGAAAATTTTTACGTTGCATTTAAAAAAAAATATGTTTGTAACATCTTAAGAAACATATCGTATTCTAGATATTTTTACATGATTTGAGAGAGTTCGACAAGCTCTACAAGGATATATGTGTTTACAAAACTTTTGATCTTGTTTTCAATATAAAATTTACAAGAAGTCAGAAAAACTAATAAAAATTTCATGCATCAAATATCAGCGAGAGTAAGTTGATCTTTCAAAAATGTTCGTTCGTTGACTGTTTCATCTATTCAGGCAGCTCAGAAGAGGTATTTTCAGCTTCAGTATGAAATACTGCATCTCGAAATACCAATTAGCAGTTGATCAACTAAAATTTTTGAAAGTTCAGCATATTATCTCATGAAAGATATATAAGATTTTTATTAGGTTGCGTGGTTTCAATCGAGTTTTATATTGGAAAGAGAATTCGAATTTTTTTTGATATTCATATATTTGTCGAGCTTGTTGAACTCTATCGAACCACAAAAAAAAATGTCTATTGAAAACGTGTAGAAAATAATATTTGGCTCGACTTTAACGATTCAAACATTAATGTTTTTTTGATTTTTTTCAAAAAATGTAACGTAAAAATTTTCACTCCAGATTGGTACAATGACCAAAAGATTCTAATAGATTTATATATTTCGAACTGTTTTGTTTTCAGATAATAGCTCTAATCTTCCTCTGCAAAATGATATAATTTGATCAATAACTTCATATAAGTTTATTATAGATATCATCGATTTACTGAGAGAAGTCGAAACTTTTGAATCACCCTAGTTTTTGGATTACAGACCACGAAAAAAAAAACCGTTTTTTCAATAATTAATTGCTGATCCAATAAATATATGTACTAGATGCGGCATCTTAGCTTTTTTTGTCTATTTAAAGTACAGCAAATTTTACTTTAAGATTTAAATTCAAATTAAGTAACTATTTTTTCCTTTTCCTTTTTTTAATTTGAATGAAACTTTTAATTATATCGATGTGTAGATGAATTTTATAGAATTTACTTTTTAAAGAAATCAATGAAAATTGACGCAAATAAATTTAAAGAATTGAGATTTTTTTGTTTACGATTATATGCATTTTGTTTCGTCTGTCACATTTGATTCTTTACTCTAAGAATCTTTATCTGAAGACACAGAAAAAAATCTTAGACTTTAACACATGCAAACATAATATGTATGATAAATGCGTTCATAAGCAACCCAGATAAAATATTTGTTGCACATGGAGGCATCTAAATGCACGGTGGCAATAGTGCCTGGATGCATGTTTTACATCCTGGCCACATTTAGACACTATTTAAAGTTGTTTTTAGCCGCATTTAGACGTAGTTCTGTTTCAAGTTACGTTTGAAAGCAACTCTACCATTGTGTCTGAGCTATATCTAGATTCTTTCGGTTCTTCTATTTCTTATCTGTTTGTATCACTAATAGATTTACATGGAAACTAATTTTGAACTTCATGTTTGAGTTAAAGTAAACATTTTTTCTTCACATTCAAATTTTATTTATTTTAAAATTTAACGAGCTATGTTGAACATACGTGTTATGCGAGAGCGAAATTGATTTCCTGACAAAAAGTGGGTGGATGTGGATGTGGGTGGGGTGGGGTATGAGTGAAATCTATGAGGAATTTGATTTCAAGCTGAATTCTAGCAAAACAAACAGGCAATGCTGGACACAACTTATGGGGACGGGGAACTCCAAAAAGAAACTACTGACACTAACTATAAAAGAACCTCCCTATCTTCTCGATCATAGAGCGATTCACTACTGTACCATGCTCCATAATCAAAGTGATCTCCGAATTTAATCCTCTCCGGACCCTATCATGAAACACGCGCCTGACCGTTTTCGCCTACCACATTCGCAGTAAACTTCACAGACTACTCAATTCTGAATTCACATGTCCAACCCTATACACCTTTTTTTTAGGCTGGGGGACTAGAGAGGCATCGAGGACTTATGAACTCAGAGTTCAGCATTTAGAACTCTCCATGACCCTCTTTTTTGTTTGAAATTAAGTTTTGTTTTATTCGCAAAATTCAGAAGGAAATTAAATATCGCAAAGTATGATGGGTTAGAGATGTGAGTGTGAGTGGTTGTGGATGGGTTTATGTATGGATACGCGTGTGCATGTGCCTGTGGGTATGGGTCATAGTGGGCGGTGTAGGCGTGGATTTTTTTCTAACTTCGCCAGCACGAACATGCACATCCACATCCAGCGCTAATACAGCTGAGATTCCGTAATTGTAGAAATCTTCACGAGTTCAAACATATGACATGAGAGGGGTGAAAAAAAGTGGAAAAATAAGTTATATGGTGTGGATGTGGTGATTGTCGTCTACAATTTCAACACGCCTACTAATATCCCAAAACTTTCACATCCACACCCACACCCAACTCAGTTCCATCCGTCCACGTTTACTACTACACCTAATTATCTACTCTAGCATAATTAGAATAAAAACAAAAGAACATTTGCTAGTGTATTTATCATTGATTTTCAGGTACCAGAAAGTTGAATAGTTCTACATGAAGTTGCACATTGTAAACGAAAAAGAAGGAGATTGTACAGTTTTTACGTTTGTTGAAGTTGATGGAACATATGCTTTGATTTCGTCAAGAAGAGTGAGATAGTGAGCGATCGGTAATAATGTGTGATATCTTTCGTTCAGTTCGAATTTCAATGATTGATACATCGATTCACGATTTATCAGACACATTTCATAGAGTTGCAGAAGACGATAACCATTAACGCTTTTACAAAGAGGAAGTATCGTGTCATTGAGTCCAATACGAAGAAGAAATGATTTAACATGATCTTCAGTCCATTGAGTGATACAATTCGGTAAGTCACTATAAAAATGCGTAGACTATGGTACTGAAATAATGCAATACGTTATGGACAGTTGCTAATGATGTTGAATTTAGCAACGTAACCGTAACCAAAGCATGAGTCATTTCATGAAACTTTCAGTTTTAAAAATAAACAAGTTATATTTTCATTTTAGTCCAGTTTGCTAATGGGGTTCAGCATGAAGTTACTGATCTGGATAGGATGATAGCAGAATCTTAAGTATACGATGCTTATGTTGTAAGGAAGAAGATTGAAAAATGGTTATCGTTTGTTGATTTCATGTTTTTCTATCGTAAAGGTTCTGTCACATGTGCATAGCAAAGTTATTTAACACCCCTCAACTAGTTTAGCAGTTTATAGTGCTTAAAAAATACACCAGTTAGCTCACAGAAAATATCGAATAAAAAAATCATTTGTACATAATTGAACGAATTACTAACTGATAGTAGACTAGATTGACAGTTGTACTTCATGCTCATCTCCAAAGAAGACGTTATGGAAATTAAACAAAGACGAAATGTTTGCTATTAGCAAAATCATAACCACAATCCTATTATTTAGTGTTTTGAATGTTCTTGAAGCGTTCACAAAGTAGATTATGCCTGTATAGTGCACAAACATAGGCGATACTATCGAAATAATTATTCTAGACGTATTGCTCAATAGAATCATGAAAATAGGGAGAATGCTTCGATTGACTTTATTGATTTGTCAAGAAATAGGTTTTTGCAATCGATGAGTTCGAATTCAAAATCTCATTTTTATAAAGTGGAATAATTTGCTACAAAAATGTCGTCTTTCTCATGTTAAAACGAAGCGTTTGAAAATTTGAACAAGACTCAGCTTATTCAGTTAATCCTAATGAGTCCAGCCTACGACACAGATATGAGACTATAACTCGAGGATAAGTATCACATATATTTCAGACTAGCAGGCGTCAAAACAAATGATAATTTCTTAATTAGTGAATCTCATTGATATCTTCATCTTTCAAGAATTTGAGATCTAAAGGAGAAGACAATTTTGAAGACAACGTCAAAGACACTCTAACTTTACATCGAAGAAATCAAAAAATGTTACAAATTTGAAAAAAACGATATCATACTAAACTGTATGATTCTTTGCAACAACTGATCGAAGGAGCATTCTGTTGCGTATTCAAATGTCAGCGATATAATTACTATCATTGTTATTATAATATGTTCAAAATCATAGACTTCACGCTTGGATTTAGGACTACGGAACACTAATTTTGATCTGATAAGCTTAGCAACTATGAGTTGCAAAGTAAGTATAGGAGACTTACATGATCGATTCAGAATCTAATACAGCATGTTCTGGAATCATGGAAGTTCTATTGATCTGATTGTTTTCTTCTGATGTTCTCTGCAATTGAATCAAAGTTTGACATCGTTGTTCACTAATTTCATTCTTCAATTTTTCATAAGCCAGGTTAAATTCATCTACGATAAAGTCAACATAGATCTTGCCACTGACAATGATACCAAGCCATCCGTCAGGCTTATAATTCGATTCAACAATGATCGGAATAAGACGGCAACCTCGTTCGAATGCATAATGAGCTTCCGATTGACAATAAACACTTTGTTTGTATGTATTTGACATGCATATCATTACATAAAGAGAATTTTCGATGGCATTCGCTATACCAACCATGGTAGGCCCACGCAAACAATCTTTGTCAAGCCAAACATGAAATCCATCGTTGATTAATTGTTGATGAATTCGAAGACATATTTCTTTATCTTTATGGGAATAACTTATCATGACATCGTATTTGTATGAAGTCAAAGTAGTTGGTTTAGCAACAGCTTCGCCTTCTTTTTCTAATTTCCAAAGAAGTCCTTCGGCAGCTCGTTGTAAACGTAATTGATTTGAATACGTTTTGCTTGAAAAGATTCGAATGCGATTCATGAAATTTTCATTTTGTTTTAGAAACGAACAAGCCAATTCATGAAATGAGAGAGCAAAAAGAATCTCAAGAGCTACTAGCTGTACTTTGATTGACTCAGATGGATTTTCTAAGAAACACGTTACTAGGAGAGGAAGAACTTCTTGTTTTATCAGTTCAATTTTAACTTGATCGTGTTGAACAAAACCTAGAGAAAGTTTAAAAATATTAATCTATGCTCGATCTAATCAGAAATAAATACAATAGATAAAAACTTACTTTTCAAACTTTCCAATAGACTATAAAATCGTTCTGATTGTTTCCAATCATTAATAGTATCTTTCAGAAATTCAATGTGTACGGCCGCAATTTTACTCGGCTTCGTCATAGTTTTAATATCTGCTTCGATCATAATTTTGCCCAAACAACGATATGCATTAAGTTGCATTTCATCATGATCAAGATCAGTTACTTTCAGAAGCATTGAAATCAAACTTGGTATAGTTTTCATAAAATTGAGTACATTTGAATGTAATGTGAAATTATAGAATGTTTGAACACTAGTTCGTGCTGCTGATTTGACATTCGTTATGCAGGAAGAGCATGCTAAGATTGATGACAAAATTGATGACCAATGCCAAACTAATTTACAATAGTCATGATAAAATTCTTCACTAAAAATGTTCAGACTATCAAATTCAGTTGGACGAATGAGAATATAATTTAGATTACGGATCATACTATCGATCTCAGAAGAACGTTGAACATAGGAATCTGGTTGACAACTTGTAAACCATACCGTATATTCATTCAATAACATTCGTAAAATTTTGATAAAATTTTCAGGATCACAATTCTCCCAGTACCATTTTAAATAGAATGGTATAGCATGAAGAAATAGCATTTGAACTTCATCAAGTTTTTGAACGAAATTTCGTTCCAAACTTTTGATCATGTCAACAGCATACGATGAGCACAAACATTCAGTAGCAGCAAAAAGTATTGGTGTAATTAGCGAATACTCAATTGTCGTAAGATGGTATTTTCGAATTTTCTTCAATGCTATTAGTAAGGAGCTAACCGAACGCAGATGCAAAGGATCATTCAAGTATTTGCCATATGTAATTATTTCATGAAGACAATTTGCAAGTTCGTCGATTAATGGTTTTTGAAAAAATAAACGTTTAAATGTAGTAATATTAGTTTCATTGATACTATAGCACAAATTCATGAAGAACAATGAAACATTCAGCAAAACCTTCTGTGTACCATTAGTCTTTTCTGTTTCTTCTCGACGAAGTTGATCGACAATAACATAGTCACGTAAAATAACAAAAAGTTCGTGTGTAATCAATTCAGACTCTGCAAGTCTTTTAGGTCCATATGGTGTAATAGTCAAGGAGGAAATAATTTGTTCTATTAACATATATTTCATAGCAGGACTATCGATTTGTTGAAATGTAGAAACAAAAGTATCCAATGATGTCTTCATTTGCTCATGGCTGATATCTGACTCATCGGTTTGGATCGTGGTACTTTGTTCTTCCATCATGGAAATGCTTATTGTTGATTTGCTTCTATAAGGACGTATGCGTCGTGAAATACTTTCCTATACAGTGTTCTGATTTGCGTTCGAATTTGTTTGTTAAAGCCGAATGAAACAATTCGAAAAATCGCTGAGTTCAGAGAGTCACGAGAAAATCAGCCATTCTGATACTTTATCTCAAACAGAAAATACACAACGGTTATAATTATAAAACGAGAAAACAAAAGTGTAGTGTTAAGACCTCTTAAGCAAGATTTGTACTCGTTTTTTATTGAGCTGTGAGGCGTCTATGTTCAGTATATCACATATTTAGTCCCAAACAGAAACACTGGCTTGGTTTGTCTTTGGGCATCATAAATATCTTCCTTTATAACATGGAAAATTTCATTTATCTCGTACACGCACATTTTTTCGGGTGAACGAACTTTCGATCCGTCATTACACCAAGCTCATTGATCCCTAAAAATTTTTTAAAATTAATTGTTAACTATCGCACTGCTCGGTAGGACAACATGATGCTCTGCAACATGAAGTGAGTGTGAGGTGTAAAGCCAGTGTGTAGATGAGAGTGCTGGTGAGTATGAGAACCTCCTATACGCACCTACACCCATGCCATCTTGCTGAGCACTGTGTTATTCTTCTCAGCAGTACTATACTTAGCGAATAAAATAACTATTTGGGAGTCAATAAGCTCAGTTTAATGGCCAACCGAAATTCATTGAACCCATTTTTTTGGACGCTGTGATTCGTATTTCTCCAGAACGATAGTAGATTTTAGTACAAACAATGAAGTTTCGTTTTGGTATCTAGTAGTCTAGAACAGGTTTTGATTCTAATTCAAGCAAAAACAAAACATTCGAAGTGATCAATAGCCTACTAGCCATTCACTCAGGTTGAAGATGCTGACTACATGAAGACATTACTCATCGTTATCTATACATCATCAGTACTTCTCTGTTTACACATCTGCTCGATTTCGTTTCTGTACTTCTCTTGTGTATAGACCTTTCGCCTGATTAACAACACGCATAACTTATCCTAGCCGATTGCTAGTCGTTCTTGTATTGATGATCGGCATAAAAGTAAAAAAACAACTGGAAACTGAAAAAAGTGGATGTTTGACATCGGAACCGTTTGCAAAATGCTGAGAAGAAAGATCGGGTGTTGTCGAGAACTGGTATAACGATAGGTTACGAAACATGTTTTGAAGTATGCACTGATGCTCTCGTTGTTTATTGGACAACAGAGCTACGAGCAAATTTTTCTATAGAAGGATTGAAAATGGTACATAAGACTCGCCTAACTGTAACCCGAATATTAATTTTACTTTTTTTGAGAACGAAAAAGTATTTTCAAAACAGCAGTACACAAACTATTTCGTCCTCCACATGCCTATCGAATTTTTTACGCAAATCAAAGCAACTAATTAACCGTTCCTTGTGCAAACATAGCGCTTTCTTTGCAAAAAAAAAAATGTGACGAAAGTATATGTGAAGTAAATGGCGTCCATGCAGTATTCACGGATTATGTATGCTATACGAAGACAGTCTGTCATTTTCGCCAAAAGAAAGAAGTCCAGTGCATTTAGTCGCGAGTTTATGTTTATTTATTTTTAAATGCAACATGTCCGTAAAAATACCGTAGCTTCTTCAATGGTTTTTTTTGTTGGCATTTGTGAGTCAAGTCTAGACCGAATACTATCCATCCGTGACTGTAAAACTATTATGATTTCTGACTGCTCTCAAAGATCTTTAAGTTCTAATGGCTCTTACAATTTTTTATATAGCATCTTTTGAGAACTATATATAATTTTTTTTATTAGCTTATTGCTTAAAGTTATGTTTAGGCTTCCGCAATTCCGGAAGGATGGAGTTTTTGAAATTTAATTGAACTTCTTCCGTGATCTTTTGTTCAAAACTATTTCAAAAATTCTTTCGTATAACTGTTACAGGAAAATAAAACTTCAATTTCAAGAGAAACAGAGATACAGAAATTTATGAAATTCAATAAAATCCACGCAAATGGCTACAGTAATATCAACGCTTATTTTCGGTTAGATAATACTCATCAAAGTCAAAGTATTATACCGATTTTGTATTTTGTGAATTGAACAAGTATGACAATGAAAAAAGCGTTTTTCTTGAACTAGATGATTTCTTAAGGATGATAGCAGTATGACTGCATTAGGAAAGCAAAGTTTACCTGATATCGATAATATGTGTCAGTAATCGAGTTCAGCCGTGTGAATACGCTATGAACTGAATGTAAAATATCGAATATGTCGAGATTGCCAAGAATACGGTAAACAAGCTGAACAGATAATTCAAGAAAACTTGACGGTAATCTTTCAGACATTGATATGGTCTATTGTCGTACAAAATCTTTCGTTTAAATAAATGTCTGCTGAGGCTACTTTTTAATTGAGACATGCTAATTGACAGTGCGTTATTACCTTTTATCGTAGTTGTGCAGGCTGCTGATAACATGCAGAGTGAATCAAAATAAACGAGTGTGGTGGATGCAGTGAAAAAATGAAGTCATTAAAGTAACTATAGATGTAAAATGTTTTTCATCCTTATTTCATGCGAGATCGCCTACCAGTTTGCTTGCTCTCTGTGCTGTTTCAGCTTTCAAGATAAAAGCAACGATAACGAAATGCAACTCAACGATTTGGAGAAGAAGAAATGAATACGCAAAACATAAAAGCAAAAACATTAGGATGTAACTGTGTGCATGAGCGTGGATATGTGGGTATGCGCGTAAATGAAAGAGTATCCATACCCAATACCCATACCCACACCCACCCCAATTTTCATAATCTTCGTCTAATCCACGTAATGTATTGAGAATAGTCAATGTTTCATTCATATCAATTTCATCATTGTCAATAATTATTTGTGATGAGTCTAAACTAATCCATTGTCGTTGAAGTTGTTGATAATCACGAAGAGCACAAATAATATCGTTCGCTTTCAATTGACTCAGAAAATTAGCAATATTCTCATGATATTTATTTCGATAGAATTCTTGATCCGTAGCAGAAAACATTTCTATCTCGTGGATCTCGTTTATATTTACTTTTAATAAAATTTCTCGAGCAGTTCGTATTGAATCAGCAGAATACGGTCCGAGTATTTTCACATTGGGAATAATAGGGTGTGAACAATCTTGTTTCTCCAATAGATCGATAGCATATTGAAGCCATTTTTGTGCTAATATTTCTTCAGTATCCGAAGAAAGATCCATTGTTTCACACATCCATAGTACTGTTGTTTTGATAAAATATGATGGTAGAACCTTTTGCCCTTTTAAAAATTTGAAATAGATACTTCGTGCAATTCCATTTAGAATTCATTCTTTTATCGAACGTTGTTGAGCAAGTATTAATTCAATAGCAGAAAATGAATAACGAAATTCTAGTTCTCTATCACATGCTGGTGTTTTTGTTGACCATTTTGGTATGACATGCATCGATGTTTTATTCATAATTAAATGATAAATATTCGGACGATTTCGTTTTATTCGTTCGAAAAATGGTTGAATGTCGTTTGACCAAAATTTCAATTGAAGTGATGGAGCACAATCAGCATCGATTGGTGCACATGATTTAAAATAATTTGCTACATCTGTGATATTATCCGGATTACCAATATGCGCATATCTATCATAGAAATCAAGAATAGCTTGAATACGAACCAGAGCTACTTGTGGTAAACCATATCCATAGACAGGACCTACTAAAGTGAAAAGATCACGAAATGCTTGTTCATTGATATGTTTTTCTTCGAACATCGATTGATTGTATGATGTTCAACATAATGGTAAAGCATATTGAGATATCGATGGACATATACCTTGACTAAATAGTTTATAGTTCATTCAAATTGTGTCGAAATTCAGTTGATTACGTTGTTGTTCAACATTGACAAGTGCATTGTAAAATTTCTTGCTGATATTAATTGTTTTATATTCTAGAGTTTGTTTTGCAGCGGCGCAAGATGCATCGGGCGATGTTTCACCCTCTCGAATCGCAACGCATAGAGCAGCACCGGTTTGTGTTTCACTTGTACAATGTTCTTTTTTTAGTCGAAATCCGTTGAGACACCGAATATCATTCGCATCATCTTGACATGTAAATTGAGTACTTCCCGTACGTTCGATTCCATCATCGAATTTGATTCGAACAAATCCTGGAATACCTGTTTGAATAAGATTTTGTTCATATTTCACAATACCACAATGGATAAGAATGTCAATATCTTGAATATTCTGATTAGCCATATGACGTGCATAAGTTTGACCCTCGACCGTACTTCCCGATAAAAAGGATAGACATCCCCTAGTATCTGTTGCCGTCATGTTCATCAGTATTTTTTTCTAACTGATATGAAAACTGAATAGTAGCTTGTATTTAATACCTGTCTGTACGTTGGTAAAAGGCTCGTATAGGTGAAAAGAAAAAGTAATAAATCTTGAATGGCATAGTTCTTTATCGCTACTGTCATATTGTGAGCAAAACATAATAAAACTTAGTTGATGAAAGCCGCTGTTATCTTATCATTTATTATGGCATCTACATCTATCGAAGCACCTGGACAATTTGTATGTTGGACGTTTTTGTACGGGATTGGTACATAAAAGTCCAGATTTTTCTACTGTCGTCATATGATCCAACGAAGTTCGCTGCGATTTTTCGACTGATTAAATCATTTGACTCTTCACCTATTTTGCCAGTCGAAGCCAGATCTTATGTCTTTTTCATGCTTTTATTCATTCTAATCGCAGTACTTTGCGTGAAGATTCAATGATTCGTTTCTGGCTGATGTTCTATTTGTTTTTCGTGTCATCCGATGCACGATCATACCTAAAAAAGCAAAATAATGTCCATGCTCAGCCGACTCAAGTCCAATTATCCTGGTTAAAGCAATCCGATATTGGTTTTCTCACTCACTACAATATCGCATCCTATTTACCCGTGGAATGCGATGGTTGTAATCGTGATGCAACACTAGTGCCTCACATGCACAAAGACTCAGATAAATACTGCAATTTTAAGTGGCTAAACCATACTAAACAAATATTGTCCAGCAGAAAACAGTTCCGTGACAATGCTCGGTTTTCTTTTATTCTTTTATTTTTTCGAATATAAATACCCCATTGAAAAGAGCATTGAAAACTGAGTATAGTCGGTTTCGTTTGAGTTTCCAAAATGTGGATTACATGTGTTTTATTGTAAGCAGAATTGATGCTGAAATTGTGTGTATCTATGAAAAATCGACTGAGAGCTCCTTGTGAATAACAACAAACGACATTACTTTCCATAGCATCTTGTAGAGAAATTACAGCTCTACCAAGTGAAACAAATTTCAATCCCTGTCGTGTGAGAAAAGGACTGTCATCGACGTTTACTAAGAAGCTGGGAAAATTGTAACATATTGAGTGTGGTGGGTGTGAGTGTGTGTGGATATTAATGAAAACAATAGCAATATCCACAATCCACATCCAACTCAGACCCACACTCGCACACACTCACACCACACATCCTGTTGTTTTCGTCCTCGCTCTAGAAATATTCAATCGATCATCACAGAAGGAGGCATTTTGAAATAAAATGTCAGAGAAACTCAATCGTCAATGTTAATATTCATGTATTGATAAGATGAGTTTATAAAAAAAAACTGTTTGGTCAATTAAAGAGAGACCGTCTTTACACGAAAATAGATTGTGTTCTTCAAATATTGAAAAAGCAAAAATTAATACTATCCAACTCTGTAAAAGATAGTTTTGAGGAAAATGATATTTATTTTCACTATTAGATCAAGGAAGCCTCAAGATCATTTTTATTTAATACAGAGTGATTCATCATTGCTATATTTCAATTTCACAAAGTTCTGTTCCGTTCGGGTTTAAAAGAACAAGAAAATGTTCGTATGTTGAACCGATTTATCCAATCGAGATTATACCAATCGAACAGTCTATTCGAGGCCTAACTCACATAAAAATTTTTAGCATCGCAGTTTTGCTGATAGAAAAAGGAAACATTTGCTCGATTCATGAACAAATTTCTCAGTAGAAAACTCAACATTTTCTATATACAATGTAAGCATATCGAAGAATGAGTGCATTGTCTACAGAATTAACAACAGAGAATGATTTTCCAAAAAATAAATAGTCCGACCTGAACAACAGAAGATTTCGGCTTCTGCTTACAACTGATTGATTATGATTCTCTGGGACAGCTTCCTGTGCAGGCTCTATCAATGACTGGTCAAATTTATTCTGCGAAATCGCTTTCTCCAATGACTTTAATCATGCTTATTATTAAAAGTTCGACATTTCTGGAACATCGAGAGACGTAAAATTATCTGTAGTATCTTGTAGTATATGTAAAACTTTGGTGAAACTGTCCTATAAAAACGTTCAATCATTTTTGTATTGTGTTAGCATCGTCGTTCGACAGTTGAGTTAGCGATTAGTCTTTCTAATTTTGTATCTACAAGAAAAAAACTCATTGAGAACATGATTCGACAGTTTTGTAACGGGAAATATTTTTTATTGAACGAGCTTACAATCGAGTCTTTCAACTACTTTTTCGGTCTTCAAAAAAAACACATAAAAATGTCCTATTTTCATGGGTCATCTTTTAATTCGATAAGCACATTCGTTTATAAATAGGGCTTTATTTCTTGATTAAATGGAATATCAAAGCCGGCAAACATTGGAATCGAATTACATTAAAAGTATACTAATAAAAGAATTTTCTTGTCTTCTTACTCTTATTCTTTCGATACCATTTAATATTGCTAAATTTCATCCTTATCTCGTACGAAGTCTTTTTTAGTTTATCATGTCGATTTTTTTGTAACTTCAGTGATAATACAACGAAAGCTGGCATTGACCCACAAGATATTTGTGAGTTTTTTTTTCTCTGGATAGAGAAAGTGTCGACATTTTTTGGAGGCGAAACCGAGCGATGTGATTAATTCTGATGATTCATTCATGGTGAGTACAGAATCTTTCGTAATATATATATATGAATTTTCCTCACACACCTATTCATTCTATCGCTGCACTGTCATCAGATGCAAACCTTTATATTTCTACCCACTTGCGTAAGTTATGAATCATAAAAGAAGGAGAAAGAAAAAAATTTCGTAATTACATCGCTTCTCGTCGTGCACATCAGTGGGAAAAAGGAACAGAGAAAAGTCAGTATATGTTTCGAATGCCTTTCTTTTCTCTGATTTTTCTTGTCGCATTTTAAATCTCAACTCGTCATCAGTTTCGCAGTATTTCAATAATTGTATATTCGACAAAAGAAATGAAGATCATAGATCGTGTACTTGACAACGGATTGCAAAATATTTGAATAATGAAACTTTCATGCACTGCGCAAACGAATGAATCACCATCTCTATTTCGATTTTCATGTGTTTTTTTCTATCGCCATTGTATTCCTTGTAGATCGTAGAACTCAATACGAATCACTATGGATTCATCTTATACTCAACAACCTTTCATTCGATCATCACTTCCGGTATGTTTCCTTTCTTCATTATTCGTTCTTTCTTCGCATGTTTTCATTTGAAAAGATGTCCACAATTTCATATGGAAATAACGCTGGTTATTACGTACAACAACCACCATATCCAAGCCGTCCGATATTCAATGCTCCTTCGACAAATCACAATCAACCAACATCATTCTACCCTTGTAAGCTTAATCTTAGATTGAATTTATTCTTGTCCCAAGCAAACCTAAAAAGACCTACGAGGAGTACGTGGAGTCCTCGAAAAGTGTTCAGCATATATTATTTCTCGTTCTGCTCGACTTTCGACCCCTCGAATACCCAATCCTCGAAAATTATTATTCCATCGTATGATCAGTTTCGAGTGCTCAAATACATTTCGATTACTCGACACCCATCGAAACTTCGAGTACTCAAAAAAATTACCCATCAGAAAAAAAAAGATTCGAGTGTTCGGACTGATTCCGATTAGTCGAAAACAATCGAAAACATGAGCACTCGATTAGAACAAATTTATCGGAAAGATACTTTCGAGTATCCGAATTGGTTGGGATCTCTTGAAATCTATGGTTTTTTTGAATATTAGATAAGAATGACCCATCGTAAAAACATCTTTGAGTAGTGAGAGTGAGTTCAATCACTCGACTACATCATAGGATCGAGAGTAGTGAAATAATTCTTTTGATTACTGGATTTTATTTCAAGTGTGCGCAACTCCTCGAGATCTAACTTCTTAAAACTTTCTACATGCCTTATCTGAAAAATAAGATTTAGAATCGAGCTTACATTGAAAATAAAATCAGCAATACAAGTGTTTTAAATCTGTATTATTGTAAGTTTTCAGTTACTGATGTTTGATGAGAAATGCCGTAAAAATTAACTTAGATTTATTTTAAACATTAGTCAATGATGTTGACTGACGTCATTTATTTTGTTCGTTGTGTATTTACTAATCCTTTTTTATGGTTTTTGTAGAACCGATATTGATCATCCATTGAATTAGTACCCTAATGAAATTCTTGTTGTCACTTTCTTAAAAACATAATAATACTGAACCTCAGTCTCTAAATACTAGGGATGTCATTTTCGCGTTTATTTATTTTAAATTTAAATTCTTTCAAATTTATATTTAAAATAAATTCCAATTGCTGAAATATAATTTTGAAATAACTTTAAATGTTCATCTTAAATAGATTTAATTTTTTTTTTAAATTTAGTTTTTTCACATTTATTTTTAGGATTTAATAAAATCTTTATAAATGTGAATTCATAATCCCTACTCAATATTCCGAATATTTTTGTGGAATATTCTACCTACACTTTACTAATGAGATTGGTGTATAAAAATCTCCTTTATTTAAACGACGAATTCTCTTAAAGTTAATTGGATTCTAAAGATATTCTTAAATTGTAAAAAAAATAATTTTAAAAATTCTATTTAAGTTGTTAAAAGTATATATCCTCTTTTTCGGTTCCAAAATTAGAAAAGAGAGTTTTAGAATAAAATGGAAAAAATCGAAGTATTATCAAGCACTAATTTAAAACATACCTTTTATCGAGAAATAATAGCTGATACTTAGTTCGGCTACTCGACAAAAGATTCGTAATCCTAAGTACCTATGTTCAATCTTTCTATTCCGCATTTCTTAGATGGATACCGACGACTCGGAAAAAGTTTCGTAACATGTAGATACTTATGTTCAAATCTTCAGTTCCGCATGTATGCGATGGTTTTCGAGCGTTCCTAAATAAGATGTCTAGTCTACGATTTTTTTTTCTTTTTGAAAGATTTCTAGCCCTCGGAGTCCCTCAAAAGATGCTCTTTGTGGAGCGTCGAAGTGTCAGATAGAGTAGTCGAAAACTCGCCAATAAGGTTGAAAATTTCAATTAATTTTGACCCATCGAAATCAATCTTTCGAGTGGTCATGAAGGATTAATGAATACTACTAATCGCCGAGCCCTCTACCCATCAGAGGGCAGCTTGAGATCGAACAATATCAGTTTTTTTCACGTTTTACAGTTCAACAACCAAATCAACCAAATCATTCACCACGAATTCCATTTGCTCCTGCAGGCAGTTTTCCACAACAATCATCAGTTGCATCACACTGGAATACTCAACAAGTAAATCCATCTGAATTAATGGCAATATAATTGATTATCGATTGTAAAATGTTTTTTTCAGATCACTTACCAACAACCATATGGTTCCCCTTACCCCTATTTTGATTCAACAACTTGTTTACAGTCAGATTTATCTACGCCGATAGTTTATCCATCACAACCAAGATCTAGCCAGAATCGACAAAGGAACGTTTTGCCTATCAAGGATCCAGTATCGAAGAAGATTATCAATTTTGGAGATGAACAATTTCCTCATTCGATTTCATCAAACAAGTCATCATCTGTTAATTCAACATTGAAATTACAGATAGCCTCAAAATATACATCCGACATTCCACAGAAGTTCGTCGAGGACACAACTTTTAGCAAAAATATAGAGCAAGAATGTCAAGAATCAAAACCTTCTTCATTATCAGAACATTCAACATCTACATTACCAACAGTATTTGACAATAAATCCCTATCAATCAATTTAGATCTATCAGAATCTCAAATTTCAAATGTTTCTGAAAACAAAGAACAACTGAAAGATGAGGTCGACAATATCCAAAATGGAAAAGACCTTGTAGCTACACCAGAGAAGGACACAGATATTGAAGAAGGAACCAATTTGTCTGATAGCCTGGAACCTCATGAACAGTCAGATACAGAATCAACGACAACGGTAAGTAAATCTTCTTCCTAAAATCCAGCGGAACAAATTCCACACTGTTCTACGATATAACAACTAAATAAAAGTATGAGAGCTAGCGAAAAGTGGACATATCGTAGAAATTAAAACATATGTTTCGATGCATGAACACTAGTGCGCGACTGTCTCGCGAAATTCTGCTTCTTCTTTCGAAGAAAAAAGACAATAGCCTGAGATATCTTAACACATATCTACTTTGTTTTCTCAAAATCTTATTGTTGAATTTTTCATCAGAAAAAAAACTCTTAGAAAAGATGCTGTAGAAATTATATATTAGTGGTCTAGTATGAGTTGGACTTATACAGTTAGTAAGATTTATTAAGTTCCAGTGGATGGCAAATGCGTGTTTTTAGAAAACTTCAAAAATGGCTATGAGAAAATTTCATGGAAAGTCATTTCTCAATTTGGCCCTTGGTTGAGTTAGGAAATTTGAATTGGTATAGGTTACACACTATCAAGATCATGATTTTGGCCCGCCACTGTTTCGCAATACCATGATACTTGGTGATGCTCGGTAGTTATACAACTAGCTTTGATTCGCGGAAAGAATACAGAGTAACCTACAAATTTAAGTCTCTTACCTTAACCAAGAGTCAAACTGAAACACAAAGTTTTGTAAAATTCTTTTGAATGATTTGGATATAAGAACTGGCTATACCATGAAAGTGGTAACATGATAATTTTTCTTATCAGCAAATTGTAAATATAAAGATTTCTTCATCGACGGACTTGTATGAAATTCTTTATTACTGAAATGATGAAGTCAAATTCGAATGAAAAGCAAATGGAACGAATAGGAGATCAGACATTGATTTATTCTCTTGTAATTTTAGTGTGAAAGTAAAACTTCATCAGGTGCGCATAGTGATACAATAGTGACTAGTGAAAATAATTTCTTCATCGAAACGACCTATTCTTCAAATAATGACATCCCATGTGAATCAAATTCGTCCAATCCTGTATCTATCTCGGAACAAAGTCAGCCAAAGATCGAATCAACTTTATCTACTTCAAATATATCGATTTCCGGTTCAAATTTTCAATACACTCGACAAAAACTACTCGCATTACGTGCACATCGATTATCAAAAATTCGACCGGCCAGTTTGCCGAATATTCCAACGATCGTTTTAGCTAAACCAAATTCTCCAATTAAAACCGATAGTGAAGTGAATGAACAAGTTCTTCGCGATGTTCGACTTATTTTAAATAAGATTACACCTGATACTTATGAAAGATTATTGAAAAAACTCGAATCACTCGACATATGCAATCATACTCGATTGGAAGGCATGATCAATATTTTCTTCACTAAGGTCTATTAAGAAAAAAATTCAACTTTCTTCAGGAAAACAACAAATGAACCATTTTCTTTCTAACATTTTAGGCCATCGAAGATATTGCCTTTTGTCATATTTATGCTGACTTATGCAAATATTTTCAAAAGGTATTGTTTCGTAGTTGCTGTTTTTTTTTGGGAAAAAATTACCTATTGTTTTAATTTTGATCTTTCATTTAGAAACAAGTGACTGTATCCGATGAGAATGATGTAATGAAGACGTATGTTTTTCAAAAACTTTTATTACAACGATGTCAACAGGAGTTTGAGAATGACTATCGACAAGAGATTGAATATGATCGACGCAAAGCAGAAATTGATCAAATTGTCGATGATGAAATAAAGAAGAAAGAAGCAATTGAAAATTTAGATGAAGATCTTGCTCGAGCTAAACGAAAAAAATTCGGCAATATTGTGTAAGTCAAATGAATAACTGAGATAAAATTTTTCATTGAATTTCGTCCTTTTTTTTTCTTCGGTTAATATTAGTTTCATCGGTGAATTATTCAAAGTACAAATGCTTACCGATTCAATCATGTACCAGTGTGTTGATTATTTATTGAATGAACATGACGATGAAGAAAGTCTCGATTGTCTCTGTCGTCTTTTACGCTCCGTTGGTGGAGCACTCGAGATTAATGCAAACAAAAACGTATGTGATTATAGATATTCTTTTTTTTTTCATTCGAAACTTGAAAGTAACTTCCGTTATTGAGAAAAAAATTTTAGCAAAGCGCCCATATGGCTAAAATGTGAAACTCATATCCGAATACTGCAGCAACAGATATTTGAAATCGCCATTAAAACGAATAAAAAACTCCAAATCACCAAAAAGTTCCACATAATCTCAACCGGTATCCTGTGGTAAAGAAATCATGATATAAGTGTCCGAAAAGACATAATATTGTGTGGATTAGTGTCCCAAAGGCCACGCCGTGCACTGAAACATACGAGATAAATGATCTCGTTTATTCTTCAACTAATATTATCATGACTTTTGCTTAATCTAACAGAGACGGTGTCAAATATTGTAAATTATATTTTATGATAATCATTATAGCACATAGTGAAAATTCAGTCTACAGACAAATGAATCAGTACTCGATGCATTTTATTTGTAGGACCAATGGAGATCATTTTCTCGCTATGCACTTCAACATGCATTTACAATTGTGCTTCAAAAAAAGGAATAGGAATGAGAGCAACAAGCAGCACTGTCTATAAAAGTGACAACAGAAAATTTTCCAATACAAACTTTCATTATCCTTTTACAGTGAGTTTTACAACAGCTTTCTTCGTGCTGAATTTCGATAAAGTTGACATTTACCACACTTTAGAATTATCTCTTTATATTTCTCAAAAACAAAATTCATATTTTTCTTTAATAATCTTCAATATCTTTTTAGGCTAATACAAAGAAAACTTTACTTACACATTATCGTAAATTAGAAAATATCACTCGACAATCGCATATATCAGCACGAATCCGTTTTGCCATTCAAGATATAATGGATATGCGAAAAGTAAATATTGTTATATTAATATATTTCATCACAATCAAAATGATTTCATTTCACAGAATGGTTGGATCGCTCGTCGACCACAAGAAAAACCGAAGAAAATCGAACAACTTCATGAAGAAGAACGACTGAAAGAAGAACAACGAGAACGCAATGAAGCGAAAAAAACTGGATACGGTAGTCATTATCCGCAACCGTACAAAGGTTCATACCGTAGTCAGGAACAGCCTACTATTAAGAAGTCGGAATCGAATCATTCTGATCAACGATTCATCGTTGAATCATTACGACGATTGCAAGCAGATGAGAAACAGTACCAAGGATCGACAGTGAGTCAAATGTAAAACATTTTCGATTTTTATTATTCTTTTTTTTTTTGATGTATAGAGTCTCAAATTTGCACCGATGGGTGGTTTGAAGAAGTGGTCAACTGTTGAGAAGAAGACAGTTAAGAATGACCAGTCGATCACAAATCGGTAAGATGACAATATTGACTATAGAATTCTTATAAGAAAAGAATTAAACTGAATACAAAATATATTTTTCTCTTTCGGATTAAAGTCGTAATACATCTTCACCTTCAAGTCCACAATCACCAAGGGCAAATCAATTTTATCAATCACACTCCATGTCTAACAATTCTCTTCGAAAGTTGCCAACTGAGGTACGTCTTTGAACAGGCCTCTGCGAGTAGAACTCGTTACATGAAATTATTTTTACACAATCTGCATCAAAGATTGAGATTAAATGCTAAACTGTTTGATTTTTGGCTAAATAATTATTTGCATTCCATACATGATGACTACAATGGATTTTTATTATTATTATTTCTAGAATCAGACGCAAGCGACACGTGAGAACAGTACCCCCAAATCTGAAAACACAATTCAATTACTCAAGAAAAATGTTAACGAAGACTATCAGAGAAATTCTTCAATTAATAGTAACACTACTGAACAAACAACCATTTCAACATCTCCATCATTATCATCAGACGAAGTTGAAAATGAGAAAACGATATTATTTGACGAAGAAAAGATTCTTGAACGTGTTCGTTCACTTGTTAAAGAATACACCGAAAATTATTCCATTCGAAGTGATATACCAATTCGAGTATGTCAGAATAATTTCATTCTTTTTTTTTTCGCAGTAACATAACATTGTGAGGTTTTGTTTTTCTTAGGATGCAATCGATGATTTCATTGATTTTTGTACATCGGATGTTAAAGAACAAGCATTGATCGTTCAAGAACTTATGACAAGTGTGTTCGAATCAAAAGCATTGGCACGTGTAGCCATCGGACGATTGCTTGATGCAGTCATTCATGAGAAAATTCTATCTAATGAAGGATTTCTATCTGGGTACGTCAAGTTTAACTTAAGAGAAAACAATAATCAGACTTTCTGATAAATTTTCAAACTAAAATCAAGTCTAGTTGTCATTAGGCAATACATTCATGAGAAGTGTATTAATTTTCAATTCTGTGTAGTAATCTATTTTTGTGATTTTTCTTTACAGATTTCAATCGGTTGTCGATTTTGCTCCTGATTTAGCCATTGACATTCCTCGTATTTGGCAATATATCGGCGAAATAATTGGTATGTATAATAATTAAGTTCTATATAAACTAAACCGAATAGTTTAGGTCCGTTTCTAATTGGTACATCATCATCATCTCGTATTGATTTGCTCACAGCCATTTTTCAAAAGATTCCGGATACAAAATCGAAACAAATGTTTGAATATATCATGCGATATGCTGTGGACTTTTCAGTAAGTGTTTATTTTTTTGTTTCAATTTTATACTGTTATTTGGTTTAGTCGAAAGAACATGTTCGAGAATTGTGGCAATCGTCGACTCTCACATTTGAGAAAATTCTTAAAGTAGATCTGATCGATTCTGCATTTGTTCGTGAATTTGAATGGCTAATCAATAGTTCATCAGCTCGTTCTGATCCTGAACTCGTCAAACTATTCAAAAATATCAATAGTCAAGACTCAGATATCATTGCTTATATTAATCATGTATGTACATATTTATTCAAAAAAAAAACCATGACAGATTTATTTCAATCATTTTTCTTTTGTTTTAGCATTTCAATTTATCGGAAAAATTCTCCATTCGTACAATTTTTTTCTCCTATCTCCAGTCATGTTTAATCGGTCAAGATCAAGAGAAACGAATTCAAGAAGATATTGCTCGAAGTCATATTGGAGTGCTTAAAGCAGTTATTAACGATAGTCCGGATATTGAAATTCAAGCTATCTATGCCATTCAACATTTTGTTCATCAACTTGATCATCCACCGAGTAAGATAATTTAGGATTTTGATCAATGATCACATGTTTTCGTTATGTTTAGAAATGGCTGCATTTTTCTTCGATATTTTCTATGATGAAGAATGTGTTAGTGAAGATAGGTTTTTCCAATGGTACGAGTGTCCAGATCCGTTGGAGATGGAAGGTATGAAGATTTCAATATTTATAATATAATTTTCTAACATCATTATTTTGATTATTCAGGATATGCAAATGTGGTGAACTCAACGACGAATTTTTTTAACTGGTTAAAACAAACGGATGAACAGGAAACATTTCCATGATATAGTAGAGTTGACAGATTTTTATTTTTCAAAGTCGATGCTGAATATTCATCGCTTGAATAGTTGGCAGCATTGTCAATAATTTTCACTTTTTTCCATAATTTAATAAATGTACGATATTGAACAAGAATCACAATGTTGCGTCGTCAATTAAAATCAAATTTAAATCGGTCTCATTTTGTGATAGAAAAAAACATTCGGATGTAAATGTTCATCGTTTATCAAATGAATTTCAAATTTTGTACATACTGATTTTGAACACTCTCGTCAATTATAATTCAGAAAATAAACAAAAAAAGAGAATTTTCTCATTCGGAATCATTGCTAATCTGTTGAAAAAACTTCTAATAGTTGGTATATTGATTTGTGAATGACAATACTATGTCAAACAATTGCCCATTATGTAACAGAGGTCCAACCAGGCCGACTTTTTGCAGGCCTGACCTGCCTGTGACAGGCCTACAACCGTCTCAGCCTGCCTGTGCCTGTCATCTTATTTCTTCGGCCTGGCCTGTCAAGGCCTGTCTATTTTTTAAAGCTAACATCATTCTAATAATATGATATAATTAACTATTAGTCTTCATTGAAAGTTCAACAGGTGAATGAAACTAACTAAGATACTATAATTGAAAGTTCTAACGCAAATATTCAAGAAAATGTTTACAATTCTGCACCATACACTAGCGTTCGTTTCTATTCTGTGTACTACAGTTAGGTGTCTCATTTTCCATTTACTTTAAGATAAATATAAATTATTGGTATTTTATATTCAAAATAAATGTAAAATAATTTTTTTCATCATTTATATTTGTAAATAAATATAACTTATCATAGTTTATATTTAAAATAAATAATAACTTATGATAATTTATATTTATTTTTAAATATAAATTATAACAAATTTAATTTATGGTAAATATAAATTATTTTTAAATGATTTATAATTTAATAAATGAAAACTTAAATAAGAAATTAGGTGAAACTATCGTATGTCTTGCCGATGTTGAATATCAACCATGAGGACAAGGGCGAAAACGCGAAAAAATTGGAGAATAATTCAACGAAAATAAACTTGTAAAAATATGTACCTATGAACCTATTCAAAACGCGTTGTAGTCTCGGATGCAACGTTTTTCTGTTCAAAAATCTAATGTGCAATAAATACGATCACATCTGCATTTTTTTTGCAAGTTTATTTTCGTTGAGTTTTCCTCCGCTTTTTACGTGACTTTTGGGTTTGTCCGCATGACCGATATCCAATATCAGCAGACAATAGGATAGTTTCATCTAATTTATTAATTAATTTATCATTTATTAAATTATAAATCATTTGAAAATAAATTTGTTATAATTTATATTTATTTTTAAATACAAATTGTGAAAAAGAAATATTTATGTTTAAAAATAAATATAAATAAATATACGTTATTATTTATTCAAAATATTAACTATAAGTTATATTTATTCATAAACATGAATTATGAAAAAAAATATTGATATTTATTTTAAATATAAATTACCGATCATTTAATTTACTCGTGATTTAAATTAAAAATAAATATAAATCGAAACCCCTAATTTTAGTCCATCCAAATTGTACTTCTGATAGAAATCTATGAAATATCAGATCAAGACACTCAAATCATGTTTTGAGAAATATTTTCCTGCGCGTTTTCACTGATCAGTGTTTTTCCTTCGATGCTCTCTTAATATTTTGAACCGCATAAAAAATCTCATGCAAATTATATGAGAATTAGCGTAATCAACTATCATATTGATGATTAAATTAAAAAGACTTGATGATCATCAACAGCTGGATATAATGCATTTAATGACATTTGAAATTACGTGGGGACACTCAGTCAGACAAAACTGTTTAAAAAATGCGTTTTTACGCATAAAAATATGTGCTTTTTACGTTTTCAAAAATAAATCTCTAATGAGCTGATATATCGAATCTGAACCCAATTAGCTCCGCAAACTGCTTTTGCAAAAATAACAATCGTTTTCTTATCGTTTTTTTCAGCGTAAAAGCGCACATTTTAACGCGTTAAAATACATCCTTGCCTGACTGGTCAGTGTAAACAGGTGTGACAGAGCCAATTCTACCAGTGATCACTTTCACAACCTTGTGCGATAGTTTTGCGCAGAAAAATATTATTTTAGTGGTAGAGTTTCATCACCTATCAAGTTCCTCTTTTGTGTCGAAAGCCTCTTCATATTGGTAGTAGATTTGATTGTTTTGATTTATATTCAATATTTATTCTCAAGCGTTTATCTAATTGGCCATATTGAATAGCCATCTTTGAAAAATACTCAACTGAATCTGTTTTCTAGAACTAAATTCAATTTAAAAAATTAAAGTTTTATTTCAAAAAAAATACAGACAGGCCAGGCGGCCTGGTATTTTTAAGCGGCCTGCCTGGCCTGGTAAAGGGTCCGGCCTGGCCTGCCTGTCACAGGCCAGGCCTTAAAATCGTGGCCTGTGCCTGTCACAGGCATGCAGGCAGGCAGGCCTAGTGGCCTGGTTGGGGCTCTGGGGTGGGGTGTTGGTGTGTGGGTATGAGAGAATAGAAGCTTCACACCCACACTCACCCACATCCAACATACACCAACCCACACCTACTTCCACACCCACCCTGAAATTTTATTATAGAGAATATATTGCGTCTTTGCTGAAGAATATCGTTCATAAATTAATTTAGAAAAATGAAAATATAACAAAAACTGCGTTATTTTGTTAGTAAAAAACTATTCTGGAAACGTATCAGTATATGTTTGTCAGTTGTCTTGCAATCTATTGTATTTTTTCAATATTTCACGAATTCGTTCATGTGGTATAGCATAGATTTTATTTCCATGAATACCTTCCATTGTTTTTGCTGCAATCATGGCATTTAAAATAGCTTCTTCAGTTGCTTGAGTAACAGCTTCAAAAAAAGGGTCCATTTCCTCATTCGGTAACATTTCTAAATGTAATAAACCTGTTTTTTTACCCATAACTTGTCGATTAGCCGTTGAAAATGCTATAAAAATATCACCTGACTCATTTCCACCTCGTCCTCCTACCAATCCTATTCCGAGAGGTACACGACGAAGAAGTCGCTTTAATTGGTGCGGTAGAAAAGGTGCATTTGTAGCAACAACGACAATTATTGAACCCTGTTCTTGATGTTTAGTTGCTTTTTGTCCGCCAAGTGGCAAAAGTTCATTTGACATTTCTTCACCTATAGGAACGCCAGCAATGGTCAATTCATTTCGTTTTCCGTAATTGGATTGAACAAGAACACCAACTGTATATTCACCATTCTTTCGAGACGATGTTCCAATACCACCTTTAAAGTTATGTGTAATCATTCCTGTTCCTCCACCAACATTTCCTTCATCGACATAACCTGAACTTGCTGTTTCGATTGCATCGTAGAGATGTTCTTGCTTAACATGATATCCATTTATGTCATTAAGAAATCCATCCCATGTTTCAGCAACAACTGGTAAACTTAATGAAGTATATTCACCTTCGGACAGAACTGAATCAGATGATTGTCGAGCGATCCATTGAATAGCTGTATCTCGAACTATTCCAACGCTATGAGTGTTAGTTATTGCAATTATTGGTGCAAGAAGACCTGATTCTTCAAGCCATGCCGTTCCAGTCATTTCTCCGTTTCCATTCAATGAATACCATGCTCCAAATATTTGTTGTTCTTCAAGATTTCCAGAAATGTTCTTTCCTCGAGGAAGAACAACTGTAACACCTGTTCGAATAGGTTTTTTTCCGGTTGACTGTTCTTCTGGATCTTCAATTAGTGTGCGATGTCCTACTTCAACACCACGAACATCAGTTATCGAATTCCAAGCACCAGGAGTTCCCTTGAAAGGAATGCCAATGTCTCGTGCACGAACTCTGATGGACATTTTTGTTCTATTACATATGAGAAATGTTCGTTAAGTTGAATATGGGTCTTTAGAGTTTTTTTAATGAATTTTGAAATAAAAGTAAAAAAATGCAGAAAATTCATTTTTTATTGCAAATTTTCAACACACTGCATGTGTTATGTATTGTCACGCAATCTAGACAATTTTTATAAAAGTTCGTGATTATTTATCGAAGTCTAATTTCATTCATCATTTTTGTTTTCGTTAAAGTTTGTTGACGAATCAATTCTTTTAAAGTTCTATTCAGACGATATTATTATTGGATGAAATTTCATTCAATAATAAAGCCTTGTTTTCACTAAAACATAATCCTGCATAAAATTCGAATTAGGGATCGACCAGCTCTCAGTTCAAATTTCACACTAAACAAACGAAAGAACTATTCTTACAGCTCAGTTCCTGAAACTATGCTTTTCGAAAAATGTTGTTCTATTTCAGGAATGGTGCTTCAATAACATAACAATGGGATTTTTATAGCCGGGAGTGCTTTTATCAAAAATAGAATAAAAATTGTTCGGACAGATCAGAGAACGTTTTCAACAGCTCCGAACTACAACTGAACTTGTCAACATCTGGTTCGAATTAAATCACCATATGCTTTTATCTATTATTTAATTCATCAATCAGATCTCGAAACTTGCCACTAGAATGTAGCGAAAGTGCATGATTCTAGCATAATTCACGAAACAAAATGTCATCTCTACTTTTTCTTCATAATTCATTAATCAATCTCGAAATTCTTTAGGAAAGGATTTACTGTTGTGGTTATATACTTCGTTAACAAAGATCTGAAAAATGATTTCCTGCGTTCCTATCTTTCTGATTGTATTTCGATGTAATTTGTGGTGTATTATGCTAAGTATCTGTCACTATCAATATTTATAGCATGACTTTATCGAGACATATTCATCGCTTTAGTCAATGGGCCAACTCAATATTTCCAATGGCAGATGTACCAAACAGAAGCAAAATGTGCAGAACATCTACTGCTCCTGATGTCCACTCTACTTCACACTGTATAAAAAAAAAACAGAGTGTAGGCAGTACATTTTGCTGAATAAAATAAAACTTTGTTTCTACATTGATAGATGAGTTTGAAGAAAATTACTTTCGATCACCAGCTTTTTCCAAGTAGCGATTTTTTTATTATCTCTTCTTGAGTGGTTCTACATAATCCACACAACTCTACGTCTGGACTCACCACCTTGCTTTCGGTGATCAAACAAACAAATGTATGATCAAAGTAATTAGTCTATGAAGTGCATATATCTGTAGAAAAACTACACATCCCTTGAAAAATTTCATTCTTCTTCAAATCAACGACACCCTATACACTAAATGGTTTAATCGACAGTGCACATCAAAAATTGTGGATGCCACAGTGTCGCTGATTTGGAGAAATACCCTTAACCAAACTAACGATATCTTTAATTAAATAGTCTGATTGACAATGGGAAACACTACAGAATAAGGTTGTCATCGTCCTGGAGCCGATGAATTTTGAAGTGAGAAAAAAAGGAAAATACCTTTGTCGCTTGTCATCTTTTTCATTTTCAAAAAATATTCTTTGTTAAATGAAAAACTAAGATTTTTCCTCCTGTTATTTTTAATGCATTATTTAGAAGAACTTCGTTTTGGTTCACTTTGTTAGTATAAGCAGAATGTATAAAAACAGTTTTGTTTAAGATTGCCATTAGAAACGCTGGATTAAGTTATTTTTTCATTGGTGCATTAAATTTAATTTGTCTCCTAAAAGTCTATTAAATCTGAATTAGTTTTTCGACTAACTACGTTTCCTAATTCAATATTTAATTTTCTAATGTGAGAACAAGCCCTAAAATCTTCTGAATGTTTCTTACAAATAAATGATTTGTCAACAATTTTGAAATGAAAAAAGAATGATGAATCATAATGGATTCTGATATATAATCTCGAAATTTTGTTAAAATCGTCTAGATCCCTTATAACGACGTGTGTAATGCGTTGAAAATTTGCAATAAAAAAAATGAAATTTCTACATAGTTTTACCTTTATTTTGAAGAAATGTTCGTAAGTCGTGTTGTTTTTATCTATTATCAATATGTGGTATTATTTAGTTCTTTTTTCTTATGAAGGCCATCTGATAAGCTGTCTAAGACCAATGACTCACGCTTTCTATAGCATATTTGGAAGTCACTGATGGGTGTGGGTATGAGTGTGGATGTGTTGATCGTGTTTTTATCCACACCTAGATCCATAGTCACGTCCACAACTACGCTCTCATCCACATCTAGGCATTTAACGAGCCCAAGTAGTTCGGGCTCGTTGAAGCTCAGTAATGTTAAGTCGGGCTCGGCCGACTCGGCCTAGACTCGTTTAGACTCTGACTGAGCCCAAGTCCGACCGAGCGTGATCCTGACTATGCTAAAGTCTAGCCGAGCCGGAGACTAAGCCAGACCGAGCAGCTCAGACTTGGTACATGCCTCTCCAAGCTCACTCACGACGAAACATATCCAACTGATAAATTGCTTTTGATTCGGTACAATGTGCATCATATAGGTCCTAATAGGCTATGAATACTCTAAAAAGATTTCGTGCCACTAGCTTATTATCGTCGAGATATAGCATTTTTACGATATTTTTGGGTGTGGGTGTGAATGAATGAAATACCCTCACCAAGACCTACGCGCACACCCACACCCACACCCACACCCCACACCCATCCACACCCCACATCTACACCCACACCCACACCCCACACCTACACCCCACACCTACACCCACACCCCACACCCTCACCCTCACCCTCACCCACACCCACACCCACACCCAAAAATTTAATCTAAAAAAGTTTGTTGTCCAGTAATTGAAATAAGAGTATTTGTTGGTTTTGTTTGCTGTTGTTGTTGAACAATTGAATATAATAATTTAATTAACTGATTAGCTTCAGATATGGATGTTAAATATTGCTTAAAACAGAGTGATTGATGATCATTCGATGTAATATGTTGATTTGCTGTCAATGGTGTTAGATTTTGAGAAGATTTTGAATATCGATTTTCATTTAATGAATTACATAAGTCATTTAATTGAAATTTATTTTCTAAAAAAATTCTTTCATCAATTATAGAATTTGTTAAAACAATTTCATCATATTGACGATTTATATCCCGAATTGTTTCCAAATAATTAAATTCATTTAAAAAATCTTCTTGTTCTATCAAGACGTTTAAATAAATCATTTTTTAAATGTTGTTCGATTATTAATCGACATATATCCGATGAACAACAACCAAGGGGGAACAAGCGGACTTCTGTACTTCTTGTACTTCTTTGTACTTCTTCGTACTTTTTGGTACTTTTTGGTACTTCTTCGTACTTTTTCGTACTTCTTGGTACTTCTTGGTACCCATGAAAAAAAAAATTTGTAAAAATTTGCGTTTCAACGCATTTTTTCTAGTTCACATGTTTTCACTAGACTTTGAACGCAGTTTTTAAAACGCATTGAAACGCATCATTTAGTAATTGAAACGGATATGTATCGAATAAAACGCGTTTCTAAAAATGCATTTGAATGCGTTAAAATGGCATATTATTGTTACAAAAGAACGAATAAGAGCGATTCCCTGTGAATTATTTTGAACGTATCCTATTTACAGCTAATTTTCTAGTAATGATGGATATATATGTATCTAATCTATGTATATTTACTCCTTTAGAAGTTTGCAAGAATTGTACTTGTGTTTCTTCCTCTAAAAGTCTTTTTTTACACATTTACATATATATGTAAAAAAATGACTTCTAGAGGAAGAAACACAGGTACAATTCTTGCTAACTTCTAAAGGAGTAGATATACATAGATTAGATAAATATATCCATCATTACTAGAAAATTATCTGTAAATAGTATACTTTCAATTTGATTAAGAGGGGATCGCTCAAACATGAACTCTTATTAGATTGCAACAATTAGTCAGATCTAGCTGGAGTTTGTATGGTAATTTTCACTTCTCGGAAGGATAGATAGGGTTAACTAGGGACAAACGAAAAGAAGGATATGGTTCGAGTAAAATAAACGAAAGAGAAGATATGGTTAAATTAAAATAGCGGAAGAAGGACATGGCTCGAGTAAAATAAACGGAAGGAGGGTATTGTTAGAGTATAGAAAACGAAAGAAGAATATTGTTACAGTAAAATAAGCGAACGAAAAATATGGTTCGAGTTTAAAAAAGCGAAAAGTAGTGTATGTTTAGGGTAAAATAAGCAAAGAATACAGTAAGATCGGATCGAAGAAAACCTTCGTATGCAGAAAAAGAAGATGGAAAAAATAATCTTGTAAAAACCTAATTCGAACTAAAAGTACAGAATCTGGCGATTATATACACAAATGGACCAATACTAAAACAGTACTCATATTGAAGAAAATTTATAAATTTTTTGCTTTTTTACATGTAGATCCAAAATTGCTTTTGAATAAAACAGAATTATATTTGAAAAATATATGTTATTAGCTATGTTTTGAGTACCATCTATCAAAGAATTTTGTTTTTTTCAAAAAATAATTCAGACTCACCCAGAAAGACCTTTCAATTCATAAAAGAAAAAAGAAGAATTTTTATAATAAGAAAGTTTATTCAATGATATTCCATGTATGTCAAATTACATCAGCTGCAACTATTGTTTAATAACAATGGACTTTTTTGAATTACGAGATCACATAGAAGAGAAGAATAGAAAATGATAGAAAATATACACTTTGCGCAAGAGTTATCATTACAATTTTAATCACTAAGGGAAAGGAACTAACATATTCCAAACACTGATTATGTAACTCTCGAAAGATTTCTAAACGTACTATAATTATTCAAATTTTCATTGGAGAACAAAGCAGCTAGCGTTTCTGAACGGCCTATAAAAGTAGTGAATATTGAAAAGAAATAGAAACTTTTATTTCTTTGAAAGAACATTCGAAAAGTTATAAATATATAAATACTATTCCTTTTATTCTATTTTGATCTAGCTGAGTTTGGCGAAAAATTATCAGTATACAATAAATTCACAACAAAAGGTATTACATTTACAACCTTAAATTATTCCAAATTGACACAATTTCAAGACTACCGGTCTTTATAGACGTAGAAATGTACATTATTTTGATCTCACTAGTAAAATTACATTAATAACGACGTCAAATAATTTATTATTACAAATTTAGTCCTTATGTAACACTAGAAAAGATGAAATATTGCTGAATTTTATTACAAAAAAAGTTTTGTGTGATAATGTTGAATTTGAGACAATTGATTTTGATCATCATATTCATGTTAATGTAAATGATATGAATATGGAAATGTATGCTACTATTAATTTGAAAATTTTTATTTTATTCGATATTTAACGCTAAGTGAGCCTAGTTTGAGAACACGTTACTACTTATCTTGAATTGTTGGCTTTTCTTTTGTATAAAATACATGCTGTCTTTTTCAACATTATTCGAGTATATTTTTTATCTTATTATATCACAGAGTCGTTCTGAACAGTTATACCTTTTAACTTACATATGTTGACATTCATGTCACCCAACATTTATTCTAGTTAACATAGATCTCTATTGTATATAAGAGCCAGTCCACATAAGCCACGACCGATTACTATAGGACCTGCTCAATCGATATCCTCCAATTCGGCTCATTTTAACATATGTGATAGAGGCAAGAGTTTGATGAATTCTGGCGAATATTTTCCAGTGTGGAGATATGAGCTATCAAAGTAGGTCAAAATAGTGATTTTTTTCTCCAATAGTGAATCCCATAAAAAACCAAGGACTTAAGCCTTCAAGCTGAAATTATTTTTGTGCGTAGAAATTGTTGGTGTATAGAACTACAAAAAAATTCAGCTCGATTGGTTGAGTCGTTCTTGAGATATAATGTGCTTAAAATCCTTTGCCGATGATTGTGGAGCTTTATAATGCTCTTCGTAAAAAATCGACAAAAAATCGAGAGTTCAATATTTTTTGAATCGGCTTTCGCCAAAATTCATCAAACTCTTGCCCCTATCACTTATGTTTAAATGAGCTAAATCGGAGGATACCGATTGAGCACTGTCGATCGTGGCTTACGTGGACTGGCTCATAAACACACCTTTTCTAGAACCACATGCATGCAAACATTCGTTCAAACTCTTTTCTAAACTATTCATTTTTTCGAGAGAAAAACGCATCAAAGAGAACAACGTTGTAACGCGTTTCAAAAAACACTTGTTTTTCAATAGAAGAAGGCTAAAAACGCATTTGAATGCATAGCGAACAAACGCGTCGAAACGCATATTTATACAAATTATTTTTCATGGGTACTTCTTCACAAATATCAAAAACTCTGTTCTACAAAAACAGAACAAAAATGTTCTGTTTTTTTGGAACAGAATTTTTGATATATCCCAATAACAGAACACTTTTGTACTGTTTTCGGAAAAAATCGAGGAAGAAAGCGTGTACTTCTCTGTACTTCTTGTACTTCTTCGTACTTTTTTGTACTTCTTCGTACTTTTTCGTACTTTTTCGTACTTTTTCGTACTTCATGGTACTTCTTGGTACTTCTTGGTACTTCTTCGTACTTCTTGGTACTTCTCTGTACTTCTCTGTACTTTTCCGTACTTTTGTACTTCGGAAGTACAGAAGTCCGCTTGTTCCCCCTTGACAACAACACATCATACATAATTTATCGATTATGCTTCTATGATTTGAGCATAAATCATTTAAACAACAACCTTAACAAAAAAAACAACACTTTTCTTTTTTTTTTATATATTTTTATTCAATTTATTAGATTTAGTTTAATTAAACTATTTGGATTATTATATATTTATTCGAATGTTTTATTTATTTGTTTCAAATAAATAATTCACATTAGTTTGATTTTGTTGACAACAAATATCGATTTTTAACATAATAAACAACTCGAACAATAGATATTCGATTTATGAAACTCTACAGTTGATCTATCATCGTTTCAACGAAACATTTTGCATAGTTTAATTTAGAAAAAACAAGTAGAATAGATTGAATAACTCGTTTAATATGATGAAATATAATGTCTAATATGAATATATCTTATATTTAATTTTATTGAATAAATTAAAATAAATCGTTTATCATAGATATATACATTTTACCAAATAAAATAAATATTTAAATTGCTCATCTATTAAACAATGAATATAATTGATGAAAATTCTCAGAAGATTTAATAGATATTTATATTTCTATCGTATATTAAGAATATATATTTATATATGAATATAATCATTATTTGTAAATCTTATTTATTATTATATTATTTATAAATGATTATTAATCGATTCTTCATAGTTATAACTATAATATCGTTTAAACGATTAAATTTTTAAACATGATTTGAAATAATCGTTAATCATATTCGATTATTTACGTTTTCATCAATTAATAATCATATTGACAAGAAAATAGGTTTTTTTTCTAAGTTATCGATATATATATATATATATTCGATAAAAAAGTATTTGAAATGATTTTTATTTAATAATATATTGATAAATCTCGAAATAAAATGTTCAATTAAATTTAATTCTATATCGAACAATCGAAAATTGAATTTGTTTCAGATCTTATTTCAAAGACTTTTAAATAAAAATCCATATTATGAAAAAGATTTTTATTTTAAAGAATTCCAACGAATTTTTAAAAGGAAATTATCTTTTATATAGAAAATAAAACATTTAACGTTTAAATAAAATAAAATAAACAAAAAAAAAAGTCTATTAAGAAATCTTCATTTGATAAGAAGAGAAAAAGAAAATTTTTAATTGAAAAAAACTAAAATAAAAAATGATATATATAAATAAAATCTTCTAATAGAGTGTTACCTTTAAGTATATAATCTAATTTGGCTAATTTGGCATAATCATAAATAAAAGAAAAATCTAGAAATAAGTAATTGAAATGAAGCAATAAGATCATTGATAGTTGATGGATAAATTGTTTTAGCTAATGCATATATTGTCCATATAAGTGAATATAAATCTTGGTGTGAACATTTATTTAATTTATTTTTTGTCTTTAATTTAGGATTTATTTGATTTGATGTTCTTTTATATTGATAATCAGAATAAACTAATTTATATTGATTTCCACCAAATATTTCAATAAATATTTTTGTATATTTTTCATATACAGGGTGGCCCAAAAGTAAGGAAACATAAAGAGTGTC